ATTTTTTTTTACGGGTCGCGGGTTAACCGCGGCCCGTGGAGGTGCAACCCGCGAAGCCCGCAGGTTACACCTCCTTGGCCCGTGAACCGCCCGCACGGGTCACGGGTCGGCCGGCGGTCCCGATTTTCATGGGCCGATTTTCACGGGTCATGGCCGGCCCGTCCGTCTTGACACCTCTAACTTGATGCCATGGTAGGGCTAGGTGATAAAAAAAATCTAAAATTAATTAGTAGACATGAAAGATAGAGGATAAAGTAAATAGATCCAAACCTCATGAAAGTCAGCACTAAGTGGATCAAAAATCAAGAGATTTGACTTTTATTATAAAGTAATGATATTTATCATCATGATGATAGAATATCGATAATATAAATATGGCAACCTGATATCTCTCTCTCATAAAAATAATTGTCACTGATAGTAAACTTCAAGCATAATAACAAAATAGCATAGCAAAGTGAATTCGATTTTCTACAACTATTTTTCCCTTTAAGCATCTACATTATAATATCAATCATAAACTTGGGAGTACTTTTCAAACATTTGTGATTCGGAATCATCTAAATAAGTTCATTTTTATTAACGGTTTCTCATCAAACAACCTAAACTCATTATCTATGGTTATTGGACATGCATTCATAAGATTAATCTAGTTGTGAACTTCAAGGGAGCTGCAACCAAGCAAGTGTTATTTATCAGTAAAAACCATCAGAGAACAGTATAAAGAAACACCATGCCACTCTTAAAAGAAGTGTGTATATATAGGATGGTCACTTCTAGTAAAATTAGGGCTTTAAAAATCATTCATTAGATAATAATCAAATCACATGCTCACATCATTGATGACGGGTAAAGCCATTTGTACAGGAGACTACACTCTGGTTTACAGATGCATATGTAGCTGAAGATGAGCAGTTGGATGAAAAGTATTTTTTGTATAAGAATGTATGAAAGTGTCAAATGTAAATTCTATCAATTAAGGTGGAAACGAGAATGTACATGTAACATGATTTTGGATTAAGAATCAATCACAACTGTACAAGAGAGGTTGAAAATTCTCACCAAATCACTCCAAATCTAGGTTCATCACTGCCAAAGCATTATCAAAGAGTGAGACAATTCCAATTCTAAACATATAAACCACTTCATTCACTTAAGATTATGTTAGTTTACAGTAATGCTGTCCAACACAACTATTAGATTTTAACTTTTTTTCTTTTGTAATCTTGTCGAATGCATCAAGTCCAGCATGTTAACTTAGTTGATCATCGCAAATCAGAACCTCGTATGCTACAATTATGGGGGTTAGTTGTGTCCTACCTCACAACATAATGACCATTTGGTACAGGAATCAACTTGAAGCAACTAAAACCATAACAAGAGATGTAAACAACCACATCAGACAAAGGAATATACATAAAGTAACAATGCATATCATACGCTCACTATTCTGAGGATAGATCAAAATTCTGAAAAAAAATGCAGGACTCTCTCTTTCTTGTAGGAATTTTTAATAATTCGCAAACCTTCACCAAACTCATGCTATAGTGGCCAGACTTTTTCCAAGAGCGTATTACCTTTAGATCCCATAATACAGTGAGAACAACTAAATATAAATACTTGGAGCAGAAAGCCATGCAAACGGCTAAAGACAATGCCTTCTAAAGCTTGAAAGAGGAAAGAGAGCGTTGTGATCCAAGCCTTCTCTTACGAAGCCGCTCTGCAATATTAAAAGCAAGCTCTAAAGATTGAGAAGCATTAAGCCTCGGATCACAATGAGTGTGATAGCGTGAACTGAGATCGTTGTAAGTTATCGTTCGAGAGCCTCCAACACACTCCGTAACATTCTGTCCTGTCATCTCTAGATGCACCCCTCCTGGGTAGCTTCCTTCTTGATCATGTACATCAAAGAATGCTCTCAGCTCGGCCTGTAAAGACATGCACCCAATTGATCACAATTCCTCATTAATTCTATTTAGGGGATGTTTGACGAAATTTAAGAAAAAGTAGAAGTAACTTTTAGTTTCTAAACATGTTTGAAACTAACTTTTAGTAAAAAATAAAAAATAAAAACAAAAAAGTTCACATGCTTGGAAAGTAATGCATCCAACACTATCAAAATAAACAACTTATTTTCAACTTTAGCCAATAAAGAAATTGTTTATTTTAAAACTTACCGATTTGTATAAACAAGTAAACTTTTTAAGCTTAGCCAAACATATCTTTAGTGTGAGAAATCCTAGAAGTCGACAAATATAATAATTAAATTGAGTTTCCAATAGGTCATTTCAAAATTTAAGAAGCAAATATTATGGTAACCTCTATGTTGTGTTTCTTTTTTCCTTCTCCTGATCAGTGTTATCATTTAAATTTAACTAGAAACTTAGGGTTTGTCTTGGTTGGATTGAACAGCATCATTACAATCGATTTGTAACGTATTTGAAACAATAGATTAACCAGCTAAATGTATTTCAAAGAATCCCCGAATGTGCCAAATGCAGAATTGTAGAAGAAACTTAAGGACCGTATCTTTAGGTAGAAGAAAATAGATTATATCATTATTAGGGTGTATGGTATAAAGTACAATACCCTGATTGCATCAAAGGAACGCGTCTTGAGTCCACAAGGAGCCTTAATAGTGTTCCCATGCATGGGATCACTGACCCAAGTGACAATTTGGCCTGCTCCACGAACCGCCCTAATCAGATGTGGAAGCTTCACTCTCATGTTCTCAGCTCCCATTCTGGTGATCACGGTTATTCTTCCAGGTTTATTTTGAGGATTCAGAATGTCAATAAGCTTTACTAGCTCATTCGGATCCATCTTATCGCTCACCTGCATCCAAAACCAAGTAATCAACCTCAGTAAGGAACATATACAATCATGCAGTTGCTTGTTTGTCTCAATACAGAGCACTTTGGCTAAGCTTAAGAGGTTTCTTTTATAAGTAAATATGCTTTACTAGCTCATTCAGATCCATCTTATCGCTCACCTGCATCCAAAAACAAGTAATCAACCTCAATAAGGAACATATACAGTTCATCTCAACACAGAGCACTTTGTCTAAGCTTAAGAGGTTTCTTTTATAATTAAATAAGTTTGTTATAAAATAAGTAAATTATTAACTAAAATTTGAAATGAGTTAACTATGTAAGGGTTACTTTTGAAAACAAAAGTAACCACACATGTTGGA